AACATTAAACAAATCCAGATCTTTATCCTGGGAGCGTGTCCTCTGCTGCTGCTGCTGGCGCAGGCCGAGCTGGACAGTAAAAATAGGAAAATGTTTCGACTTTTCTGTTCTTTTCCAAACTGGAGTCGCTATTAAAACCCCTTGAACTGTTTGAACTTTTTTATATTTAAACTAACTGTCCTGTGAAAGTTTAGCCCCGCCCCCAGATGGTTTGAAAACGCCCACCAAAGTGGGCGGAGCCAAGCGACACTGTGGGTGTGGCCAGACACTGTTGCTTACTTATCAACTTTGCTATGCTAAGCTTGACAAGAGGCTGAACTCCAAAGTTGCGTCACCAAAAGGCTTTTTGATGAATGAAATTTTACTTTAAGCATAGAGTAAGGCCACATTAAAGATTTTCCATTCTCAGAGTGAAACACAAACTCTCAGACGGTTTTTACCTCAGACAGGAAGCATGTTTGATGTTTGGCACGTGATCCAATCGCTTCTGTGTTTCTGCATTCTTGATCTCATCGCTGTTTTTGTGTCACTACGTTGCGCCTGCAGACGCAGCGGCCCGGTTTGAGGCCCGTATGATTTAGCAGCGCCTTCCGCTGGCGCCTCCAGGCAGAAATCAGGAAGATTGTTTTGACATGCGAACTGTGAAGCGGATTTTCCTCACAACTGTACAGGCCAGAGGTTGAAGCCCTGTCACACTGGAAAGGTCTGTTTTACGTCAGCGCAGCAGTGACGGGTTCACGGCTGTAAAGAGAAGATGACCTCATGTACTGCTGCCTCATTTCTGTCCTGTCAGGTTTCATTTTGCAGATTCAAATTTTTCCCACTGAACTGCAATAAAAGCTGGCCGATAAATCGATTTTATTTATCATTTTTGGCTTTTGAAGATCTGGATTTTTTTTTCACCAATGCGCTCCATGAGTTTTCATTATTAAGAGGGCGGCCATCTTGTCTGACAAGCAGGTTTTACAGCTTCTATTTACTTGGACTTTGAATTTCAGTCAACTATAAAATATAAAAACAATGGCGTATTGAGGCCACTGGAGAAACCAGTCAAAAATTTCTGCCAAAAAAATTCAGAAATATTTAAGTACATTTTCTAGAAAAAAACAAGAAACCTTTTTAGATTGAAAGTTTGAAAATTGGCAAGAAAAAAACTCTGAAATTTTGTAGTAAATTCTCCAAAATGCTTCAGAAAAATCCCAGAAACTTCTGAGTTTGAAAAGCCCAAAATTTGTTTGAATTTTTTTTTTAATTTTAAGATTAAGCTCAGAAATTTTCTAAAAATAATTTGGACATTTCAAAGTTACAAAGGTTTTCTTTTCTTCAGAGAATTGTCAGAATTATTATTATTTTTTGACATTTTTCTTCATTAAAGATTCTTTTTCCTAGAAATCTAAAGGTGTTTTTATGGAAAATTGAGTCATTCGTTTATCTCATATTATGATTATTTTGTTGTCATTAAACATTCTTGAAGAATGACAATGATAGTCCATCATACAACTCACAGAAGGGTTGATTGAAATAAAAGCCACTTATTGAAAATATTTTCAGTCATTTGTAATTTATTTTTCAGAAAAGAAACAGAGAAGCAGAAACTGATTAAAATTGGAGCTCAGATCATGTATGAAATGAGTCGTAGATTTTATTTTTTAGCTCTAACTGTAAGCAGATCTGAGTGCAATGGGAAACGGCTCCTTGCTGGTTTTTCAGCACCATGGAGAGCGACCAGAAAATATGTCATTTACTCCGACATTTCAGAGTCAGGCTTGTAAATGCTTCCAAGAAGCAACAACGGCCCACACGCCGCCTCACGTATATCCCCTCATTTGCACTCGCCGCTGGCAGCTGATCAAGCTGTAAGTCCTGCAGTCAGCAGCGCCGCGGCGCCCGGGTCAGTCTGACTTCAGAAAAGCCCTTTGGATAAACAGTTCACAAGTTCAGTCACATTTGCAATCATCAAAACTGCATATTGTTATTTAAATAAGCAGTCAATCAAGTTTATTTGTGTGGCATGTTTCAGCAACAAGGCATCGTAAAAGCAGAAAAATACAAAGTCATAAAAGTCGCAGTCAACCAGCAAACATTATATTTTGTCAAGCAGTGCCATCATTATACATCCAATATGTTGATGTTTCATTTATAATGTTTCAAATAGACTCTACACTGGTGCCTTTATTTAAAGGAACTCAGTGTTTCGACATTTTTGCAGTTTTCTGGAAGTTTATTCCAGATTTGTGGTCCATAGAAGCTGAAAGCTGCTTCTCCTGGTTTGGTTCTGGTTCTGGATGCAGAGCAGAACCGGAGGACCTGAGAGATCTGGAAGGTTGCTGACAACTGCAGATCTTTAATGTACTGTGGTGCTAAACCTTTCAGTGACTTATAAACTAACAGTATTTTAAAATTAATTCTCTGAGCTGCAGGGAGCCGGTGGAGGAACTGGTTTTAGTCAGAACACCAGCAGCAGCTTCTGGATCCGCTGCAGCTGGACGCCTGATTTTACAGGCAGGTCTGTGAAAAGATGCTGTTGCAGTAATAAACGTGACTAAAGATGAATGAGTTTTTCTAGAAAATGTTTGACTCTTGAAACTTGAAAATGTCTAACTTGAGATTAATCACAACATTTCTCAAGTATTTGGAGGGAATTTATGAGTTTTCAAACTCAGAAATTTCCAATTTGTTCTAGAAAATTTCTGATATGATCAAAATTTCTGAGGTTTTTTTCTAAAATCTTCAAATTTTGAAACTGAAATTTTTATGTTTTTTCTAGAAAATTTCTGAAATTAATTTCACATTTTCTGAGTTTTTTTGGTGTAAATTTTAAACTACTGAAACTCTGAAGTGACCAAAAATAATTCAACAATTTTCCGAGACTAACCTTGAAACTTTTTGGGAAAAATGTATTCCTCCTTTGTAGCCCACCTTCATAATGAAAACCCTACTAGTCATATATTTATGCAGATGCAGCTTCAGGTGTGATCTCTTTCTTCATTTTAGTGTTTTTATTTTAACAAAATGTGTCGACAGTCTCTTAATATCCAGGACTCTGCTTGGCTCCCTGTCTGGTTTCCTTCTGCACAGTCAGCGCTCTCCTCCTCCTCTTCCTGATTCTTCTTCTTCTCCTCCTCTTCCTCCTGGCTCTGCTCCAGTTGTAAAGCATCCATTTGATAAGATCTCATTAAGCTGTTGCTCACGTATGTGTGTGCGTTCTTTGATCCGTCTCTCATATGGCCATACAGCTGTGCTGACATGATTACAAAGGGCTGGCCAGATGTGTTGCCCATCTGTCTTTGACACAGGCCCTGTGTGTGTGTGTGTGTGTGTGTGTGTGTGTGTGTGTGTGTGTGTGTGTGTGTGTGTGTGTGTGTGTGTGTGTGTGTGTGTGTGTGTGTGTGCAGGTATGGGGCAAATCTTCCCGATGACAGGGACAGGTTTGGAGTTAGAACCGCTTGGCACTCGGATTGGTGTGTGTGAGTTTGGCTCCGTTCCACACTTCCTGCTTTCTCTGACCCTCGGGCCCAGCAGGGAGCCGTTTGTTTGCGATGCAGACGCAGGACGTGGAAGCAGTCCTTATATGGGCATGTAGTCGTGCGTTTGCTCCAGAATGAATCAGAGTGCTGTTACATCAGAGGGGTCGGGCAGGCGGGCGGGATGGATCGCTTGCTCTCCGATTGGAACACACACTTCCGCTGGAGAGTGTGTGAAAGAGGAAAGCTGGAAACACACACACACACACACACACTCTGATGGCCTACTTTCCAGCAACTCTGAGATGCAGGGATTGTTCTGCAGCAGGAATGATATGAATGATGGGAGTGTGAAGACAGAAACTTCTAAACTTTACAAAGAAATCTGAAAAAATTCAACTTACACATAATAATCAAAAATATTCAGTTTAATTTAATGATCATAAAATAAACAAGATGCTTTGTTTCTCCTGCTAAACTCACAGTATTCTTTTTGTTAGATTTTATGTTACAAACTTTGGTTTTGTTTGTTTTTGTTATTAAAGACAGTATATGTAATTTGTTTTATTGCACCAATAATTTTATTTTTGTTTTAAGTGAATATATGCCTTTGATTTTGCTTGTTTGTTTTTGTGTTGTCTTTGTGTGCAAATTTCTTGACAATTTGTTTAGTTCTGCAATATTTTTGCTTAAATCTGCCTCAGTGCTGCCCTCTTTAGGTTGAATACTGGCTACTGCAGTTGCATTTTCTCATTGGTTTCAACTGAACATCTTGGTTGGTTTCATTGGTGGCAGGTTGCTTTTTTCAAACTACTGGAAAAGAAACAAAAATGATTAAATTTCAGCCAAAATATTTTGAGGTTAATTTCAGAAATTTTGTATAAATTTTTTTTATAATTTACTCGAAAAAATTCTGAAACTTTGACTTTTAAAAGCTCAAAAGTTTAAAATTTGCACCAAAAAACTTGGAAATTTTGAGATTAACCTCAGAAATATTTTAGAAATAAAACTAGAAAATTTCCAAGGATGAAAAATAAATTTTCTTTTAAACTTTTAAAATATAAATTTCCACATTTATTGTGGAAAATGTTTGAAGCTAGTCTCAAAATTTCAGTTTTTCTTGCAAATTTTCTATTTTTTAAAATATAGAAAGTCCCTAATTTTCACTGGACAATTTATGAGATGAAGATAAAAACTTCTCAATCTTTTTTGCTAATTTTCAAGTCAAAAAATTGTAGAATTTAAATTTTTCAAAAAAATTTCTCAACTTAATTTCAAATATTTTTTTGTTGTTTTGGCAGAAATTCACTCCTTTTGTTCCAAAAAGGAGCGTAGTCTAATACGGCTTATGAGGGCCGTATTAAACTACGGCCCTCATAAGCCGTAGTCTCACTGCGATTCTTCAAAATGGACAAACGCGGCTGGTCTGCAGTCAGTAACCAGCTGTTTCCACTGTTTATCACAGTTCTAAGTGTTTCTTGTGTTCTGGTTGTATTTTAGCGTCTGACCCGTGTTCGTTCTGGTCTGTTCCTCCAGGAACATTTCAGGGTCAGTGGGTCGGAGGGATGCGTCACGGCTACGGCGTCCGGCAGAGCGTTCCATACGGCATGGCGGCCGTCATCCGCTCTCCTCTACGCACCTCCATAAACTCTCTCCGTTCTGGTTCGGAGCACAGCAACGGAACCGCGCTGCTGGACCGAACGGGCGCCCTGGTTCCGGGCCCGCCCACGGTTCCGGGAACTTTGACCACCAGCGTCTCCATGTGCAGCACGGGCAGCAGCGGCAGCAGCCCAGCGGTGTCCCGCGGAGGCTTCGTGTTGACGGCGCACAGCGAGGCGGAGCTGCTGAAGGGGAAGAGGAAAGGAGGATTGTTCCGGAGGTCCATCCTGTCCGGCCTCAAGCTCAGGAAGTCCGAGTCCAGGAGCTCTCTGGCGTCGCAGAGGTCCAAACAGAGCTCGTTTCGCAGCGAGGCTGGGATGAGCACCGTTTCCTCGGCTGCATCGGACATCAACTCCACCATCAGGTAACCTGAATCAGCAATTAAACCATGAAATACCTGGATCTACAGATGACAATGCGTTTATTAGGAACTGGTGGCAACTTTTCTATCCTACATAATTTATAAAGTGACCTATTATGCTTCTTTGAATAGAACAACATTGGTCTATGGTCTATACAAAAAAAAATTCCTAGATAAATGGATTTTAGCTGATTTTGTTCCTTTAAATCCAAATAATTTGCTACTGGCCACGCCCCCCCAACTCAATGTTTGGACCCACATGTAAACATAGCTGCAAATAAATGCGCAATTATACACCATACATCTTTGAAAAGCATTAGTAGAGTCTCCTGCACGATCAGCAAGAATCCAGTAAGAGGTTTCTGGACGATAAGTCAACAATAAAACTCTTTGTCTTTTCCAGCTGCCATTGTTAAATCCAGCGGTAAAACCAGCTGACCAAATGTGCTGGATATTTGATGGGGTTGCTGGGTGATGGGTGGAACTCTGCTGGAGTTGCTACGTAACGTCGCAATGCCCTTCAAATGTGACTTAACATTCAGGATGTTTTTGAATTGGTGCACTTTATAAACACTAAGAAACATTAACTTACTGCCAAAAACGTCTCACTTTTTTCAGCTCCTAGCATTTTTTAAGAAGCTTTTAAGACCCAAATGGAAGAACAAAAACATACAAAATGTGAATTTTGCATCATAGGTCCTCTTGAATTCTTCTCATCTAAGGCAAAATCTCTGCAGCTGCATTTTACAAGCAAAACCTGAGGACAGAAATGTAAAACATACAGTTTCTAATCCAAATATCTTTGTACATTTGAAATAAGACAAAATTAACGCTCTAGTAACTTTTAACTCAATAATTCCTTAATATTGATTTTGCAAAATGGTAATTCATTTATGACTAGACATTTTTCATGTTGTTATGAGGGGCCCAAATGAAAACCAGCCCTGTGTGGACGAATGTATTTGTTTTCCCAAATAAGGAATAGTTTTAAAATAAAAACATAAACCATTGTGACCTTTACCCTTTCCAGCCTCGGAGACGCAGACGCGGAGTTAGCGGTCGCGGACGACGACGTTGACGCCACAGCGACGGAGACGTACTGTGGAGAGTGGAAGAACGACAAGCGGACCGGATTCGGCGTGAGTCGGCGGTCCGACGGGCTGCAGTACGAAGGCGAGTGGCTGAGCAACAAGCGGCACGGCTACGGCTGCACCACGTTCCCCGACGGCACCAAGGAGGAAGGGAAGTACAAGCAGAACATCCTGGTGAGCGGCAAGCGGAAGAACCTGATCCCGCTCCGCGCCAGCAAGATCCGGGAGAAGGTGGACCGAGCCGTGGAGGGGGCCCAGAAGGCGGCGGACATCGCCCGGCAGAAGTCCGAGATCGCTCTGTCCAGGTAGGAGGTCCGATTGGTTCTGGTTCTCAAAGCCAAATCATTTTAGTTTAAAGTTCTTGCTGTAAAATAACGACGACCGGACCAAATCCTCGTGCTCAGGTCCGATGCTCTTCACGAGAGGAAAACCACATCTGCATCTAGAAATGCTTCCAACTTCCAGATCAAATAACTTTATTATTATTAGAGGAGGAATTCCCCCTTGTCTCCCAAGGGGCAAATAAAATACACCACAACATCCAATAGCACTTGGTACAATTATATACCGCCACGGTTCGTTGAACTTCAACCTAAATTAGTTTTTTTTTTTTGCAGATAAATTGTATAAATTGATCCTTGATGATCTATTTGTGACATTTTGTTTACATTTGTTTAACTCTGAAATGTAGAGTGTAGTTTTACAATTCTTCAGCTTGGTTGATGTCTGTCTCACAGCTCGGTGTTAAAGCTGCACTATATAACTTTTACAAAAATACGTTTTTTACATATTTGTTAAAACTGTCACCATGTTCTGACAAAATAAAACAGGATGGATAATCTGTGGAGAGACTGATCTCCTCCACCTCCTTCCTGAACTTCCATTGCTGCCTTAAGAACCAATCAGGGCCAGGAGGAGTACCTGACCGCTGTCAATCATCCTTTAAAAGCGCTGCTAAATGTGCTAATAGCAGAGACACATTACAGGAAAACTATTTATCTGCCATTATCTGTGGACTGCCTTAGCATACCTTAGCGACTGGCGCTTTCTTGTTTCAGATTACAGAGAAAAGTCGCAAGGTTTGTTACTAATCACTTTTTTGAAAAAGTCACTAGAGGATCTCAAAAGTTGCTAAATATTGCAACAAAGTCACTAAGTTGGCAGCAATGCTTCTCCCTCTCAACCCCTCTGCTCATCAGCGTCCCTCTACCAAGAGGCAGAGGTAAGTTTGGCCACGCCCCTCTGTCCACTGGCCACGCCCATTTCCCCAGAAATTTAAATAAACGAAAAGCCTGGAATCCTTTTTTAAAATGTACATTTTGTAGAAATTCTTTCAGCCAAACTGAAATAATATGACTCAAAAAGTCCAAACCTGCTATTTCTTCAAGTATTTTGTCAATTATAAGTCAAAGCAATGTTTTTATTGCCGTCTATTTTGATTATATTACCAAATAAATGAAAAATGTAACGCTGCCATGTGCGAGTGGCGAATTGCTAATCAGTAGAGCTGTAATGGTCCGTGAATATTTGTTATAGCCATTTCGGTTGAGCATGCGGTGTACCCTTTTAAATCTGAGCACATGCAGAAATGATTATGTGCACAACACAACGTTCTGTAGCACAACTTTAAAAAAAACACCAACACCCACACAGGACTGAACGTTTTACTAAAACCTGCTCTTTGGGAAAATCTAAGTTTCTCATGCAGTGACGCCGCGGAAAGAAATGTGGATTGAATCAAAACTTTGTCAGTATTTTCATAAAAGAACAAAAGCAAGTGATTTTATGAATGAGGTTATTCTTTATTATTTTAAAAAAAGCTCCTTACTGGCCAATCTTTGGAGTATTTTCTCTTAGCGAGTTAACAATTGAAGATATGATGTGAACTTTTAATATTTGTGTCCCTTTGCACTTTTACTAATAACTTCATTAAACACAAATCTCTACAAATACACAATTATAATAAAAAACAGCCATTTAAAACATACATAAGTCGATTAGTGAAATAATTATCAACTAATTTAGTAGTCGATTAATTGTTCTGAAAAAACAACACAGTCAGAGCCAAACTGTACAAAATATATACAAATTTTGCATTTAAAATTTAAAAAACTGTCTTTATAAATATATCCTACTCAGAACTCTTCAGGTGGTAGTTTTAACTTAATCTGGTTTAATTATGTAAAATAAATGAAAAAATATCTTCTATTAAGAAACTTTTGCATCTAGTTATTAATCAGTTAATCCAACACATTGGCACTACAATGTATTCTTGCTAAGTCAGGCGGTTGACATGTTTATTTTCTCATTTAAAACATGAATATAATCTTTATTTTTATGTCTCAATATATTTCTAATGTAATACTAAAAAGGCTTATTTTTTAATCTGATGATCAATTAATTGTCCTTTTTGCTTTCATTCTGTCCTCCATGTTTACCTTGAACACTCACTTGTTAGCGATGCTAAGCTAACTGCAGCGTCCTGATTGAGAGGAAACGGACCTGCAGTTTCCTGGATCATGTTTCTTCCATGTCGTTTTATATTTTGAATCAGTGACAGAATAAGATCAGGCTTGGGGTCAAACGGGGTCGAGGGGTTAAGGAGGGTCGAGGCGGCAATCGAAGCGAGACGGTCCAGGAAACTGGAGTCTGTTCCCATTTAGCTAAACGCTGAGCACATCCGGGGTTAATGGTTCTGTCCTGACCTGCTTCACAGCGGCTAACAGCTTCAGGGTGAGATATGAGGCTCAAGTTTTAGTTTTAGGACTTAGAGGAGGAATTGATTTACTGTCCCAGAACCTAAATATAAAAAATCGTATTAACATTGAAGCCTGGTGGCATCGAAGGCATTCAGACTGTTGTTGAGGTCAGTTTATGACACAGAAACTTTGTTAGTGACTTGGCTTTAGGGCATATGCTGATATCACAATATAAGCATTGCATATCTGTCGATATTGATCATTAGAGATTGGAGTTTTGTTTAAATAATCTGGAGTCCTGCCAAACTGGTGGCCAGGACCTTTCTTTTTCTCTACGGTTTTCTCTCCACTGTTGTTTCTTTTATGTTTAAGCTGATATGAGGCTCAGTGTCGAAACTTTAAACCGCTGCCAACAGGTTGTTGTTAGGTAACCAAAGAGCGAGTTAGTTAGTTGATGCCATTTCAACTAAAGCCTTTCCTTTGACTACAAGCCCCAGAATGCCGTGCTTTGGATCAAAGTTCAGTGACTATTTTACATATTCAGACATGTTATGTATTGATCATGTGTCTATTGCAATATGTATTGTTATTGACTTATAGCAATGTAGATCCAGCTCTGATCGTAACTCGAGACTGGACACTTTGTTGCTGTACTTAAGTACATTTTTCATGTATCTGCACTTTACTGGAGTAGATTTTCTCTTGGGTACTTTTGATTTTTACTCCTCTACATTTTATATAAAGTGTCTGTACTACATTTGTACTACACTACAAAAACCAAAAAAGCTTTATAAAGTATCTTTGGTCTCGTTTCTAGTGCAAATATTTTTGTTACACTTGAAATAAGAAAAAACAAACTCATTAGTAACGTTTTATCAAGAAATAGTAGCTTGTTGTGAGTCAGTAATTCCTTAATATTTCTGAAAAAGTTTGAGTTCTCCTGACAGATTTTTTTCACTGATAAGGAGGAAAAAGCAGAAGCAGAGGTTTTTTGAAAGTGCAACGGCAGACGCAGACGGTGAATGAAGCTCCTGTCTGAAAGTGGGTTAGCAGCGCTATCGGATTAGCATCTGACCTTGGAGCAGATCAACTGTAATACTGTGTAACATCTCTGACCTGGTGGTCATGGAGTCGGCGTGTGAGAAGATTCAGGAGAGCAGAATGAAGATGCAGACAAAACTAACTTAATCCTTAATATTGATGGAAAAAGTCGTAGTTTCATTGGCAGATTTTTAAACAATGTTTTTAGTGAAATAATCTGCCAATGGAACAAGAGTTTTTTTATTTTTCAAATTTAGTTAAACAAGCTCATATATCTTGGTGAGAAGGTACTTATAAGTTACTTAAACATGTGCTAAGATATTTGCACTAGAAACTAGACCAAAAGTAAGATTTTGTGTTTTTGCAGTGTATGAAGATGAAATGAACGAGCTCTGATCACTTTTTTTTTTGTGAAGATTGCAGTCCAAGGCTTTGCACATATAATTCAATTCAACAATAATTTATTTGTCCCAAAGGGAAATTAAATGTTGTCAAAACTCATTTTATCTGAGAGTCTTCGAGGAGTCACTGTGCAACTTGTTGTCATGTTTACACACCATGTTAGCTGTCTGAAAGTGGAAAAGTGAGAGCAGAAACTGCAGCTGCGCAGCGTCCAAAACCAGAGGGAGAAAACACAAGAGTCAACATGCTGCCACTGTGAGCGGCGCTGTTATAGAAAATGCAATAAAGACAAAAAAAAAAGTAAAAAAAAAAAAAAATCAAATCAGTAACTTTCTATAGCAACTGTTTCTGTTTTGTCTTAGAAAAGGTTGAATCGCTCAGCTTCGTTTCTTTCTCAAAGATATGACATTTTCACATTCATATGCACTGCAGTTAGTCCTGTTAAACTTCAGTTTCTGACTGCTGAGGGAGACATTGCTCTGATATTATGAGGACAGGGTCATGAGAAAGAGGAAAAAAAGCCTTGACATATTTCTGGGGACAGACTGTGTCCTTGTTTAAAGTAGGATGTCACTTTGTTGCCAGTTTAAAGCGGATAAACTCAAACCTAGAAAGTTTGTGAAGTTGGAGATGGAAACAGAGGACGATGAGACATTTTATGTCCTCACTTGGTCTGGGAGGCGAGCTGGGACATATTCACTCACTGGCCACTTTAATAGGTACACTTATATGGTTGCACAGGCTACCGTAGTATTCTGGCTGATCATTTCCATCCCTTAATGGCTACATTACCCATATTCAATCAGTTGGTTTCCTTAAAGTGGACATATAGAGACTTTTTCACACTTCAATCATTCAGCTCTGGTCCATTTAAAATGGAGATGTGATCATTTGATCTGAATTCCTCATTATTGTGGCTCCTCCTTTCCTCCTGTTCTGAGAGGCGTCTGAATTTTACTCCTCCTTATTGTCTGACTGCAATGGCCCTTATAAGACGCCATAACAAAATGCGGTGTTGGAAAAGTTTCAAAACAAACCTTCTAAAAACTTGAAAAGGGTTTGAATTTTGCTGTAGTGTACAAACTCAGGTTCCTGATGTGAAGAATGATGGCGCAGATCAGACTCTCTCCCTCCAGAATAACCCTGTTCTGCATACACTTTTAGCCTGGCCTGGCTCTCCACTCTCTTACACACACACACACACACACACACACACACACACACACACACACACACACACACACACACACACACACACACACACACACACACACACACACACGCGCGCGCACACACATCAACAGAAACATCTAACCCAGATTCCTGCAGCGCCGTACAGCTTCAGCATGCGTGTCCCAGAACAGAGCAGCAGGGAATTTCCTTGAGGAACTCCAGGAGAAACCCTGAGAGGTGAAACAGTCACAGGATAATTGCTGCAATTCTCTTTCTCGGAGCAAAGTGAAAGCACTTAGGAAAACTGGTTCAAGAAGGATCTGGCTTACTTCCTAGAGATGGCGCATGTTTCTAGCGCTGTCAGTTTTTCTGCAACCTGCGCAGGGAGTTCGGAGGTAAAGGTTGAGTCAGGACCTGGTGGGATTGGATCTGCTGTCTGCGTGCCTGATGTTGCTGTAAATCCAGGATTTATTTGCGCGCTCGCCGGCTGATGTGCCCTCGTTAGCGCAGTCACATGTGCTGATGTAACCGATGTGTCACTAGGCTACCTGCGATCAGTGAAAACCAGATAAACACACCAGTGACTCACTGTGCTTTGTGGTCGGAGCCTCTCGCTGCAATTCTGTGACCTCGTTTCATCAGCTCGCCTGAAGCCCAACACACACAGAGTCACTGCTACATTCACTGTTCGCATCCCATAACAGGACGTTGCTTCAATAAACATACATTTTCTGAAATACAACTCCAGCTTAAAAGGGAGCAGGGTTGCCAGATTTGACAGTTTCCAAACCAAAAACAATGTAAAACCTGCACAACTCCAAAAACATGAGCACAAATCTTAACCTCTTGTACAATCCATGGCATTTTGGGTTGTCCTGTGCAGTATTTGTAATATCCTGAGTAGAACCAGGTCCCACTGGGACTGCAAAAAGGACTTGAACCCTAACAAACCCGAGTTTTGATTGGGTTCATGTTGCTGCCCTGGGATTTCTGTTTTAAAATATTACAGTGACTAATCATTGATGTCATCTTGGAGAGATTTCAAAATTAATTGAACTAATAAGTGTGATGACACAGCATTTCATAAAAAAAGATTTGTGCTTTTCTGCCACAAAATGGCAACTGTTTTGTGAGACTTTTTCTCTGGAACTTTTACAGAAACCTGTCAAATTTTAACTGCTCTCTCAAATATGGTAATATGAGTTACAACAGCATTTCATTTCTTTTTGGGATCAACAAAGTTCTTTGGAATTTGAATCTGTATTTTCCAGCCAAACGTGTTCAAAAGCTGACAAATCAGTCAACACAGAAACAGACGTTTGGGTCTCAACTGCTTCCGAAAACAGCAGCAGAGTTTGGGGGGGAAACACCCGGGGTTTTTTGGTAATAATTTAATGTTTGTCCTGGAAAATGAAATGTTTCAAAAACCTTCAGGATGCAGCATCACCTAGCAACCACAGCGGAACTCCACCCGATACCTAGCAACCTAGTCTGAGTTCCAGAACATTTGGTCAGCTGGTTTCACAGGTTTCACTTTACAGTGCGCTATACGTTTGTATAATTGTGCATCTGTTTGCAGCTATTTTCAAGTGAGTATAAACATTGAATTTGGGGGCGTGGCCAGCAGCAGAATATTAGATTTAAAGTGACAGAGACCCTAAAACATTTCATTCTGAAGAAGCTCTGAACTGAGCAAACTAAAATCTCATCATCAAAGAATAATGTTTGTGAAAAAAAGTAATGAACTTGTTTTTTATCGACTACAAACCTATCCTGACCTGTTGAAGGATGAATAATAGGCCGTCTTTAAGACAATCTTCGTAGCAGAAATCAACTGGTTTGTTGTACCTCCCAGAAAAGGGACCCTATCAGCCTGGTGTGTCAACAGATTTACGTCCCCACAACTTGATTGAACGCACGAATGATTAGCGGTGATGCAAACCGGAAGGCTCAGTGAGATATGAATCATCGTCCTCATCATCAGCTGCTTCAGAGCGATGGCAGAGATGATGGAGGAGCTTAGCGCGTGAGGCCTGGATTAGACTTTCTCCTCCGCTCGCTGCGCTCTCTCTTCTGTCCCGTCTTTGTTTTGTCTCTCAGCCTTTGTTTTTCTCGCTCGTCTCTCTTGGCATCGATCTCCCTGCTTGTTCATTCAGTGCTAATCCATGCCCCACTGATCTATTTTAGAAATGTCTTGTGATTCAGAGAAAACAAACTCACATTTAGCTTGAAAACTGAAGTGTATGGAAGACCAGAAGGGCCATTAATCAATAAAGGAAAAGAAAATACATAAATGCAAACAAACCTGTGTCTTCAAATCTAATTTGAAAACTTCAATGAAAAATGTTTTTTTAATGTCTTCCAGTGCCAGCATTACATGTTCATTATAATTTAAAGATTATTGATTTTTGTGAATGTGTTCTTGCATTGTTGTGCCATAATTGTTGTATTACTTAAAAATGTTCCAAAACAACAATGTTATCATTTATCGCAATAACTTCTGGTTATTTACTGTCCAGTAAAATTCAAGTATTGAATTGAATACTCAACAGAAGATAACATTTGAAAAAATAATAATTCAATTAGTGGCGACTAACCGATTTTGGTGTTTTCTAACAAGTTTTGCTGTGACCATTTTGCAAGTTTCTGTAGGTGCCAGCAGGAGGAATATGGAGCGTAAACTCACTCTTTAACTAGTTAAACTAACAGAATTAGACAAATAAAAAGTCATATCTAAATAAATTAAACTATAATAAAAAAAACCTCAGAACTATTGTAACCTTTGTTCTCCTGATTGAGAAGCAAACTGAGTCTCCAAAATGTCTGTCGCGTTAAAGAAAACTCAGTCATGATGAAGACATAACGGCTTGTCCTCGTCCTCCCTCTAATTCTGCTTTAATGCAGAGGTTGACAGCCTGCTGGACAGCGCTGTAATTACGCTGTCTCACAATTAGGCAGGCTGTGATTCATTCAAGTTAAACACCTTTTAGCTCTCCCACTGCTTTCCCCGCGCTGCATCATCTCTCCTCCCGCTCTCTTCATCACCTCACAGCATCGCTTCTTTTCTCCTCCTGCTCTCCTTCTGTGGAGCCGTTTTCTTATTTCCTTCGGCTTTTGGACACCAAGCGATATTGTGTAATCAACATGTTCTGTTTCACAAGCAGAAACATGTTGGGGGGGACAATAAATCCTTTGTTTGTTTATTTTTTGTCTCTAACTTGCAGTTTCACAAATTTCCATCAGAGGCTAAAAATGAACTGACAACTTAATGGCTAATATTTAATTAAAAATCTAAATATTACGTTTCAAACTAAATATAGCTACTGTCATAAGAGAAAGAATTTTATTTTTCAAAGTCATATTTTCACCATGTTATTCATTCATTAATAAATACCACAGTTTTAAACTAAATATTGAATGAGGGAGATAAACATTTAATTTACAAACTAAACATTTAGCTCCAAATTATTATTCATTTTAAATTAAATATTCAGTTTGTAAATTCTTTGACATTTGAAATTCTTGGGTTTTTTTTCTTATGACTGGCTAAATAACCCAAATGTTTGGTGTTAATTCGTGGCTGGATGCAAAGCATTCCGTTATTTATTATTTCTAATAAATAACGGAACCGTCTTCATGTCCTTTACGTCTCACCGCCCAGCAGGCTCTCATGCTCGGCGGTGTGGAGGACGGTTTGGTTCTGGCACAGAGAGGCAGAGAGGAAGGAAATCAATAGCCATCGACATGCAACACTGCATCAGGGCTGCTTCTGCCCAGAGAGAGGAAAGGGAAAGCGATGCATGGATGAGCTGAGAGAAACGGAGAGAATGAAGCTGCGATAGAGACAAAAGGTGCTTGATGTAATTAGAAAACATCCTGAGGCAGGTGATAAAAAACAGTCAAAACCTTAAAAAGATGCTGCAAAGCCACCATTAAAACACATCAAACTCAGAGAGAGGAATTATTTTATGATATTAAAGACAACTTAAGATTTCTGCAGCTTCACCATCACATTTCAGCTCTGCAGTAAAATATTTCTCCTCTGAGTTCAACTATCGGGATCAAATGATAATTATCACCTGGAATAAACAATGAAACCCAGAAACAGAAGTCTGTGATTATTGGTTCATATGAGGCTACACCTGTCACAATTAACAATAAATCAATTAATCGCATGATAAATTAAAGCAAGCTTAATCATTTCCATTTGGAAGATTTATTGTTTTTCTGTGTTTCTACCAAAACCTGGATGATAAAAGTCTTCAGTCCTGTGGTTTGGTCTCATCTAGTTCGTTTTTTCTAAAGGACTATTTTGTTCACAAAGATTTCATAATTAATTTTATCTGTTGTTTTGTTTATTTTGGATATTTCAAATGTCTTCCAGTTCACCATTGACTATGAACAGTTTAAATAAAAATACATGATCACTTCCCTGAAAGTACAAAACCTAACCTGCCTCCACACTTATTGGCACACCCATTAAGAGAAATTATAAAGCAGAAAATGTTATTTATTTTACTTTGTTCCAACAAAGACTAGATATTATTAATGACAAGAATAAATGATGTAATATTACTGTGTTTTCTCTAGTTAATTTGTATCATCTTTTTTTACAAAGTTCTGGAAAAATGTGGAACCTCATCCTGAAAATGCTTGAAAAGAGAAAAAACTTTTTTTTGTTGCTAAAATCAAATGTAATTTAATTTTAGCTACAGTTTGGAAAAGCACTTCATGTCCACTGATGAGTACAGTGGAGAACCTGTGATGCTGTGGGCCTGTTTCTTTTCTGAAGGTCCTGGGAACCTTTGATTTAAAATAAAACTTGTTTATCCAGGAAGGATAAACAAGTCGTCCTTCCTGGATAACTTGTTTTTCCTGGGATGTTGCAATATTTCTGCTGCTGTCTTCACCGTTTTCTGCGTTTCAGGACGGCTCATGCTCAGGGCAAAGCCGAGGCGGCGGTGGGAGCCGCGCAGAAAGCCCACGAGGAGAGTCGGATGGCGAGAGTCACCGCCAAGCAGTTCTCCCCGTCTTTCCAGCACCCTGGAAACGGTGGGTTCCCAATACACACAAAACCAGAAACGCAACGACAAAGACGCACATCCAACGTGTAGAGTGACATGAAAAAGCTAAAACCTATTTTTGACCTCATACACTGCAAAAACACAAAATCTTACCAATTAATTTTGGTTCATTTTCTACTGTAAATATCTTAGTTCACTTGAAATAAGACAAAACTAACTTACAAATGACTTTTCAGGAAGATATGGACCCATTGCATGTGATTGGTTTACATCCAGAAATGTCATGCATGCGCACAGTGCAGCTATGAGGGCGTTTTTACTTGCCATCTGTAGCTGCACTGCCACGGTGGAACAACTCTGCTAACAACCTGGATATGTAGATATTATTCATTTAGAGCAATGAGCAACTGCAAAGGAAAATAATGCAGAAAAAACGGTGAAGAACAACTCAAAACCACTTTTTTCCTGCTCTCTGTGTCAGCGACGCTACACACAGACTCGTTGCTATTGCAACTCACAATAATGCCACCATATGAATCAGGATTCAACACCAAAAAACACTCAAACGTTTCCCACTCAAAGAACAGAACATTCAGTCCGTCACAGTTTTATGTTTTTGGCCTTGCCGTTTATTTTGCTATTTCTATGAAGTTATAGCTGCAGTAGATTAGCTACCGCTGCTATCAGCTAAGCTAACACAGCGGCGGTTAATTAACTAATTTAAACATCTCCTCTTCTGATGATCTGTGTTTTTAGGTTGCCTTTTTGAAAAGTGTTTCAACTGGACCAAAACACACCAAATTCCACGTCACAGCTACTTAACTCGCTATTTTGTTCTTAATTAAAACCTTTTTCTGACCTTATTATCCAGTTGTTGTAGTGTTGACAATTACTAGCAATGCACTGCATCCTTTTTTCTTTTATATTTTGTTGAAGTTTGTGTCCTTTATAATGACAACTTAGCAGCTAAAACCAATTCTAGTCATAACCAGGAAGCTTGAGTGTGTGACATCACACTGCAGGAGATCCAGAGGAGTTTTTTTTTAAGTAAATAATTCCTGAGTATAGGTGAAAAACTTATATTCCCATTGCCAGATTAATTCACTTTTAACTAAACTTCCCATGCAAACAGGCCAAACACGTGTTGATACGTTATGTGTGTCATTTGGGAGGGTTGATGTTAAAGGTCATCGACGGCCTCCCTCCAGCTTCGCCATTCCACGTCTGCCAGTCACACCTGTGGCGCTCCGCAGGTCGCCGTCCCATACGGAGCACGGCGCATCCGCACACAGACCGCATGGCCGTCATGACCGCCATCTTTTCTGCTCTCACTTATGAGAACGACTCTGCCAACAAGCATCAGCTCTGACATTTAGCCGCATGCTTGTTTGGACTTCTTGGACATCACCTTCCTGATGATGCCCCACTGTTTTCTTTTCAAATGATCACTGTACTGACTGAATTAAGAACGTAAGTCATAACGTTATTTTCTCCACGGTCATTTTTGCTACAAAGGTGTTGCCATATTTATCCTTTTTTTTGGGTTCCGTTTCTTAATTTATTCTTAAGTTTTGTTCCTTAAACTTTATATTTTCTTTCACTTGGATCAACTTCCGGCTCCGTGGATCTTCCCAATGGCTTTAGCTTTTGGCTAAACATAATAAATAACCAGCTGGTGCTTTAAAACATAAATATAATTTGAAATTGTGGTATTTAGCAGTTTTTGTATTTTTTTATTGGAATAAATGTGTTGAATTTCCACAACAGAATGAGACAAAATCTCCCCATATTATTTTTGATGTATTTTTCTTGTAATTACATACATAACTGCGGGAATTTTTTTTGCATGATTTCTCAGATCTCAACATCCCTTATTTAACCCATTTTTTAAAATCCTGAAGCCTAAAACTAAAAAAAAGACGAATCTTTAAAAGTGGAGACAAATTTCCTTTAGTACGTATAAATAAGGTAAAAGAATGAAAATGTTTTTGTGTCGCCCAAATACCTGTCCTATTAGGCAAAACTCACACTTGGCTCTTTTTTGTACTTCTATTTGGATCTGGCAAAAAAAAAAAAAAAAAAAAGACTAGCTGTTTTATGGCAATAAGTTTATGGTTTTTGATGTCTAAAAAACGAGTCGTTTCAAAAACCTCCAGACAAACTGGACCTGTGCTGTTACCTAGTTACCTACCTAAAAGGTGATTCAATTTGTTTGGTCAGATGGTTTACCTGCTGTATTCGCTGCGCAATGTCACCTGGAAAAGATAAGTACTTTGTTGTTGACCCACTGTCCAGAAACTACTTGTTACATTCCTGCTGGCTGTGCAGGATGCTCCACTTCTGCTTTTCAAATATCTCAAAATGGGCAGAACTGACCAGAGTAAAATCTTGCTATGCATTTGTATCACCATAACCTGTTTGAGGAAGCATAGTAGGTCACCATAAACAAACATGTTGATGCTTTCCTTCTGTTTGCTGAATCCGTCTCATGTTCTCTGCAGGGATGGAGGTTCAGCGACCCAAACATCAAGTTTCCAGTGAAGTTGAGGGTGAGGGCCTGTCGAGTAGTGCTGGCACCGCGGAAAGCCCAGATCTCTACACAAAAAGTGTTGGATCTGATGACCCCTCCAACGATGCCGTGACCCCCGACCTCAGCCCACCCTCCTCTTCACCTCCCCACACGCCGCCGCCGCCTGCCCGACCGTCCCAGCGAAGCAAAAGCGCCCGATTCCACCGGCAGAGCGCCGTGGACCACGGAGACCGGGGGAAGGACGGCGGTGAGAAAGGGGGAGAAAGGGGCCACACGGAGATTCAAGTGCTGATGGAGGGAGGCGGCGAGGGAGGACTGAAGGCGGAGTATCCACGCGCCAACAGCTGGAGCGAGGACAGGAAGAAGGGGGTGCTGTCGAAAGGAGGCGGCGGGATCAGTAGCCGTGGAGGAAGCCGGACAAACGGGCACAAACACAGCTCCTCCAATCACAAATCGCGGGAGCATGGCTCGTCCAATCACAGGCAGACCAGGGGCGACAGGTGGACGGAGTCGTCTTCGTCCACGACTTGGACGTCTGGGCACAGGGGGACGCACAGCAGGGGGGGCCGGCTGCTGGAGCAGGACGAGGAAAAGATCAGCAACTATGAGATGGAGATGAAGCCTTTACAGCCCAGAGACTCCACTACCCACAAGCCCCATGGGCACGGAGAGGAGCGGCACGGGCACGGAGAGGGGCGCTCCCACGGCGCACCGCGGCAGAGGCACAAGAACCGGGAAGGGAGGGACGGGGGCAAGGACTCGACACACAAGGGGGAGAAAATGGATCCGCGGCCTCTGCGACGAGACCTCACCCTGTCCCCGCCGCTGAAGTCCTCCCCCATCGTCCCCGACCGGCAGGACCTCAGCCTCACGCCCGGCAAGGGGAACTCGGTAAGTCCGACATGCTCTGATGGTACGATATGCCTGAAAAGCGTATCATGATGTAAGCATTGCATATCAATCGATATCGATTATTAGCGATCGTTTTATCTGAAATACTGGTGATGTGACTTTTCCTGTTTCAACCATCATTTGTTCTCACGCCGTTGGACTAATTTTCTCCTTTCAATCCACACTGTTGATTTTTATTTTTAAGCAGTTTCTGTTGCTTGATTACCGAGCAACAGGCTGCTGTTTCTTACCCAAAGAAGGACTGAGCTGGTTGATGCCGCTAACCTGGCATAGCTCTGCCTACATCCCCCAGAATGCTGTGCAGTTCTGGACTGAAGTTCACTGAAAGGAATCTGGTCTGTGCTTCATTTTTACCAAGGGTTGCCTGGTTCTTTAGTTTCAATCAAACTGTTTTGGACTTCCAAACTGATTCAAACCCAGTGAATATGCATATCTTCAAGTTTCTAGAAGCTGTTATTTAGTTACTGTTCTGCAGTCAACAACGCACTGAATCGCTGATTGTTCACAGTTAGCGTCTAAGTTGTCTCTTGGTGGAGAATTATAGGAATACTATTCTTACTGTGTTCTCATACTGCGGATCAAAACTGCAACATTTGTTACATTTTAAGCTGCTGTGGTTCTCTTTCACACTGCACGATCCAAACACTTTTGGTTACTTATGACTCTTCCTTCATCAACTTAAAAAAGCCTTTTGAAAATTGTCTCTCATGTGTTTCGTGTCTCAGTTGGGCTCTGCTGACGGCACGCCTCTGCCCTCAGCACAATGTTTCACTGACATTTGTGGTTTTGCTTTATTTGGCATAATCTGTGGGATTAATTTAACAGCTGGTCTCCAAATTTCTCTTTCTGCGTGAGCAGGTTTCATAATAACTAAAACAGAAATGTTTTTCCATGAAATAAGGATAAATAAAACCAAACCTTGTGGCTGTAAGCTGCTGTAATAACCTCTATCTGTGTGGTGGGTCTCCGCTGGCTGCTGTTGTTCAGAGATTAGGTAATGTTTCAAACCCATTTGGACCATTACCTGTAACTTTTCAAAACTGACAACCAAACATTCGCACCCACTTCACACCCAGAGGAGGCAGCCATGTGGAGTTAAGAGGTGTCACTTGTGGCAACAACCCAAAGCAATGGTTTCAGGGTCTCCCTGGAGAGAGTGTCAGAAAATGTCTGCTGTTATCCCTGCTTTTAAATGCTGACAGAAACATTAATCCATACTGATTTCTCACTTTCCAGCTTCTCAGATCCATTTCAGATACATTCTGCTAATGGACAAGATTGTAACTCAAAACCTTGGAGTTTCCTGAACGCCACAGATGCATTTATGGGCTTAGTCATGTTAGGTTTCTCCAAGGGAGGGGGGAATCTGGGTTAATGTTTATAAGTATGATGTACAATACATACATCGTGTCCCAGGAAAATATTGATCCATCAGACCCTCTTTCACTCTGAACTATTGTTGCATTGACTGCAGTTTTCTGGAAAAAACCTGATCTGCCAAACACTTTGGGATGTTTATCTGATTTTATTGAAAAACATACCTTTGAATTAACAGTACAGTTTTTACTAATCAGAAGGTCGTGCTCTGAAATATGAACGAGAATTTCTGTTCAGAGTAAAAATAAAAAAGTCAGTTTCTGCAGTCTTTCATTCACCAACAGGTCAGACTGCAGACCTGTTTTAAGGTTCTTACCAATAATAAAGAGGTATTGTGCTTTTTCAAGGTCATAAGGTCAGAGGTCTTTTGAGAACATAAAAAACAGTGTGATGAGTTTTAGGATACAACAGCTTTGTGTCAATTTAAATATTAAACCAGTCTAAAACAAATACACTGCAAAAAGTCAAACATTACAGAAAAAAATAAAGTACAGCATGTGTAACATTTCCTACTGTCAATATGTAATAAGAAATAATATTAGCATCACAGACTTATTGTAAGCTGGCAGTTTTTCCTTGTTTCAGGTGACTGTAGATTTCTGCCTCTTGTTGTCTAATTCCTTTGGATGTCGGCCTCCAAAACGTTTAATGTCAACTTCTTGTGTTTCTATAGATTTTATTGACTAAATAATTTTTTTGAAACACATTTTTGTTGTCTAACAGCAGTTAGCAGTTGTAAGATTAAACGCAGCTAAAACGCACAACATTAATAATTAAATTAGTTAATGCATACACAAACCATGGAAAATGTACACATGTAGCTGTGTATAAATTGAAATTTATCTAAAACTTATGTTTACATATAATGCTAAATAAAAGTATAATACTAATATAGGCCAGAAGGGGAGGAGCTGACAGTGTAACAGAGATCTTCTGATTTTGGCAAATTAATTTGGCAAATAAATAACCCAATTTTACCAATGTTAACATCCATAATAATTAAAAAATAAATATTTGCATCTTTGCAAAGCCTATAATCTTCTGTCTACAGTTTAAATAAAATATAATGGGATAATAGATAATAAATACAATCTGACCTGTTTAACTTTTCAGGCTCAGGATGATTGAGAACATTCCTAGCATTGATCATTGCTGCTTTACATTGCACCGCTATTTATAACTGCATGGCTTAATAATCGCACAGCAGCTGTATGATGCATTTGTCAAATTTGTCGTGTCACTGCCACACATTGATTTGACTAAAAGGATTTGTTACCCGCTGTCATGAGAATACATCCCGTCCACCGTGACATAACACAGTGTTATCCCTCATATTAAGATAATCCTGCAGGACAAGCGAAAGGTTTACCCTTGGGGGAAAAAAAATTATTTTGGTTCTCTGAACAAGCAGAAGGGATTACTGTTGTAATGTGATTTTATTCATTTTTATTTTGGCGGGTTATGTCTTAACTCGAGCTGGTGACTCGCTAATCCCTGCTGATAATGCGGCTTTAGCATTAGCTAAATGAAAGCAACAGGAAAATTCAAGTGGAAAAAGTGCAGTTTCTCCATCCCTCTGCTGACTCGCCTCAGTTTGAAGACGCTGAGGAACAGAAGCCGCTACCTGCTGCAGGAAGGCAGACGTACACAGTACACAGATGCATGCTCAGAGAACAACCCCAAGATGCACCTTAGTAACAGAGGAATGAAAAAGTAGCCCGTTGCTCTCAGAGAGGCGTCTCATTGGTTAACCGGCACTCTGTTGCTAGGGAACAGCGTGTGCATCGCTTCGGCTGCAGCCAATCAAACGATGGGGAGTTGAGTTGGTGTGTGTGTGTGTGTGTGTGTGTGTCAGCAGAGAGCCGAGTGAGATCGGTGTTAAACAGGTTCCCAGTACAAACACATACTATCATAAATACACAACGAGCGCCATGGGAACAGAGCTGCACCGTCTCCAGTGAGTCGCTGGGTAAACATGACTGTCCTGCTGTTGGTGCAAAACACCAAACAGATGCTTGTTTTTTTTTTTTTTGTTTATTATTATTATTTTATTCAGTGTGGCTTGAAAAGCTTTGAAGGTAAACACCTCTGAGTCCATCGTGTGTCCCACTGGCACATATTTACATGAAGACGATTCCCCAGACTGGTGAGGCTTTTCACCCTCCGCAGCAATTAAATCGACACCAACAAAGAGGGAAAATGCAGTTAGATAGAAACAAATTCCAGATTTCCATCCCCTGTCTGATGAAAGCCAGGCGATTTAACAAAAACTCTCTCTTGAAAGCATGAGTGACGGATCATCTTCTATAAACAGGTGTGTGCTGACACGGTCTGAGCTGTGATCGTGGTCAGCTGCTGCGTTTCGGCTGCTCTGCAGTTTATTTGGGCGGGCCGCAGCGATGCAGTTCACACATCACTGGTCAAATGGATCTCTGTGACGGGAAGATACAACGTTTCAATGAGCAATTAGTACTGTTAGCTTAGCTCTGAATTAAATTAAGTTGGTTTCATGCAGATCTTCAGATTATTATTACATCACTGAAGAATTAAAGAGGCAGTGTTATGTAAAATCTGCTTTTGTGGGTGTCCTGGCCTCGCTAAGCACTGTGACTTTTAACAGTAACTCAGCTATACAGGTAGCTAAACACTTTCCCATCCGTCCACCAAGAAGCACTCCATTTGGTTCTTTAGCAGGATTTAATGAGAATCGTGTAAAACTTTAACACACAAAAGTACAGAAAATGAATGCCAGTTAGGCTAACGCGTCGGGCTAACACGAGTAAAAGAAATATCTATCGTCACATAAAACATGTCAATGGGTTCCAAATTATGATTTATATGACAAGCAAATTAGAATAGTACTTACAGACGATGCCGTTTCTGAACTTAGATTAAAGAAAAACACAACAAAGAGGGCCCCCTTCGGACTACATGGGCCAACGGCTTTCTTCCTTTCTCGTAAACAAACCGTAGTAATAAAAGTAACCACAAGATGGCGTCAGTAGATTAACTTAACATTGAATAACAGGTTAAATTAAACAGGTTTCACTACACTCCCCGCCTGGCGTCTGTAAGAGATGCCACGAAATCAAATGTCCACATTACTAGATGTCAATAGAAGAATCAATTCTGAGATTGGTCGGCTGAATGACCTTACACCTTGATGTCTTGCAACTTTAACATCCACTTTTCTCACAAGTCCATCCTTGCTGGGGTACGTCTTCTCAACAAGTCCCATGGGCCACTCGTTGCGCTTTGCAGTGGAGTCCTTCAAGAGGACAACATCTCCTTCCTTGAGATTTGTTTTCTTCACGAGCCATTTTTGACGACTTTGAAGGGTGCAGAGATATTCTTTCCGCCATCTTGTCCAAAAGTTGTTGGCTAGTATTTGAACTCTCTTCCACTGGCTCTTGAAGACGTCCTTCTCTGTCAGGTTGTCTGGAACTGGAGGAGGAGCTCCTGTTTTCTGAGTAAGAAGCATAGCTGGAGTTAAGACCAGTGGAGCTTCAGGGTCTGTGGAAATCGGCACAAGGGGTCTGGCATTAACAATAGCTGTGACTTCTGCCATGAAGGTCACCAAGACTTCATGGGTGAGCTGAGGT